CATGGAGCCATCTGTTGTCTTCTCGCCTGTCGCAGATTCAGATGGGAACAGGAAAGAATCTGACGACACCAAAACAGCGCTGGACGCTGCTCATGGTGTAGAGCTACCAATCGATGATGCTCTTGCGTCAGAACCTGTCGCTTCAGCCTCAGTGTTGGACGCTGCTCTCGGGGACATGTCGCACGAATCACCCACCACGAGCCCAGTTGCTGCTGATGACACTGATCAGACGGCGCTGGTGCTAGGTGCTGATTCTCAACCAGAATCAGACATGAAAACAACCGGAGACGAGATTCCTGCTGTCGTCGATACTGATGATACTAACTACGCTGTGCCTGATTCTTGCGTCGATGCAGTCTCAGGACTTTCTCAAGAGCCTGTCACCGGGAGATTGCCAAGGAAACTGACCAGGCAGCACATAATTCTGTTTCCGAAACCCCACTCGCAGGTTCTACAGAACCTTCGCAGGAGCTTCCCATTATTACTGGGGAGAATACTGAGGACATTGACCAGGCTGTATCCGATTCTCTCCTCCAAAAACCGGTCGGAGATACTGCGGAGTTTTCGCAGGAGCTTCCCAATCCTACTGGGGAGGATGCTGAGGACACTAACCAGGCTACAGCCGACTCTTTCCTCCAAGAAGAGCCAGTCGGAGATACTACAGAGTTTTCGCAGGAGCTTCCCATTCCTGGGGAGAATGTTCAGGCTGAAGTCGATTCTTCCCTCCAAGAACCAGTCGGAGAGACTGCAGAGTTTTTGCCGGAGCTTCCTAATCCTACTGGGGATAATGCTGAGGACGCTGTAACTGATTCTTTCGTCCAAGAAGAGCCGGTCGGAGATACGATGGAACTTTCGCAGGAGCTTCCCATTGTTACTGCGTCGGAGAATGCTGAGGAAGCACACGATTCTTTTGCTGTAGACCCGGTAATCCTTTCGCAGGAACCTTCCATTGAAGTTCATCCTTGGGACAATCTAGCTGCCGCTGATGACGCTACTAGTAGTCACCAGACGGCAGATCAAACACCGCCGCCTGTACCCTCCAAAGATGAAATTCAAGTCGCCACCGTTGATAACCATTCTCCCATCGAGAAGAAGAAGGAGGTCGACGAGCATTTGGAAGCAGAGCTTCCAGGGTCTGACTGTCTTACTCCAGTGCCGGAGAAAGATAGTATGGATTCTTCATTGCAAAGCCATGCTGAAAGCAGTTTGACCTCATTGGGAGATGAATCTACTCCAGGTGATGATCCTGCTTCTTCCGACGAGAATGGTTCAAAGGATCAAGAATTATCCCAAGCTTCTGAAGCTGAGGTAAACCTTACTACACCTCTTTTAGATACAGCCGCTTCATTGCCAGAGGCTGAAGACATCCATGCTCAGACGAACGAGCCATCTGCGGAAGCTGAGGCCTCTTCAGAAAGTCCGGAGAAGGTGAACGATGTAACTGGAGATGAGAAGGTGGGTATCAGCGAATCGAAGGACAATGAAGATGCTGAGGATCCACTTCCTAAGCCTGATGCCGACGAGACAATGTCTCCCACTGTTGATGAGGCGATTACCCAACCCTTAACAGTCTCCGCCGCCAGTCCTACCTCGGATAGTGCGGCTCCTGATTCGGATACGACGCTGTTTGAAGGGCTCAAACCCGACTTTTTCCAGTCGTTCACGGTCAACTTCGGTGACTTAACAGGAGAAACCCAGACCGAGCCTTTTATTGAGAAGCCCGGAGCTCTCGATGAGTCCATTCTCCAGCAGGATTCTACTGTCAGTAGCGGCGGAGGAGATACTGTTGCCGACGCTGAACCTGGAGTTTCGGAGGACGCCGCAGGAACAGGACCTTCCTTCAGTTCGACCACTCATGATTCCGAATCATCCGATACCAAGGACTATTCCCACCTTTGGCCCGAGGATGCTGGACAATCCTCGGCTGGGATCGCCCGTGACGCCGTGAACAACTTGGATCTTTCTGCGTTTGACGATGAAGACGAGACCGAGCTGTATTTTGATTCGCCGGAGGCTCCTCATGATGAAGGAGCATTTTTCCTGGCAGAGTAATTTATTATTTTTGGACGGACGAAAGCAATACCTATCACTATAATCCTACTGCATTTGTATAGCATTTATTTATTTATTCTACTTATTACAATAGTCTATTAGTATAGCAGAGCACTTTTATGTATCGGTAGGGTCAGACCGTAACAGCGTTATATATCTTCAATAAACCCGAACGGACCTCCCGACCTCAGTTCCTACATCTACCGCTTTGAAAAATCAAGTTTTTGTCCATTTCGACGTACAGTAAGCATTTTATTCATTTGAGCCTCTCACCCGTTGAAATTCCAGACAACTGTAGACTCGGCGTAGGTTAATCAATTTTATCTTAGTTTTGTTTCTGGGTTGTAGGAGGACCCCGGAATACACTCAAAATCGACTTATGTCTCTCAAACAAAGATGCTACGGATCGAAAGTAGTGGGCGTACGTGGAGGAGAAGGGAAAACAACGGGCATGCACCTTGTTTGTGGGTCCGAGATGCTATGTCAGAATTGAATCATTAAATAATGATCCTTCAAATAATCCTTGCCTTTTACAACAGCATCCATCTCTCTTTGAAGACTTTCTACATACACAGGCGAATCGATGTCTGAAGACGAAGATTAGTATGTTGGAAATTATGTTTTGATGATGAAATGCTTGACAATGACTTGGAAACAGCAACCGAAGAGCAGCAGAGAGGGAAGAAAAAAGGCGCCAAGAGCTCTGGGCCGACCCATTCTACGCCAACTTTCCTCGTTTATACAAACAGATTGACGTCCCACACTCCAGCATGAGTTATGGATGTTGTGTTGGGAAAGGGTGGAAGCCATTCATTCACGAACTTTGTGTCCAGCTCACCGAGCTTGACGCAGGAGTTGAATTCTCCCAGATCAAGGAGAAGTTTGGCAGGATGCGAATTTATAACGGGTTTGGTCAAACATTGACGGGGCAGGAGCCAACTCAGTGGCAAAGGGATCAGGCAGACAAGTTGATCCAGGAGACTATACGCAAGGCCGACGCGAGCTGCGAAACGTGTGGGGCGCCGGGAATTCTAAGAACCAAGGGATGGTACAACACTGCGTGCGATGAGCATAAGAGAGACTGATGGGAGTGTACGAGAAATGTGATTGTTATCGGTAGCTGTCTTATAGGAAGTTGTTATAATTGCTCTTTCCTCAGTTGTTTCAAAAAATCAGATTCCCCAAGTACAAATCCTACATATGTCAAATGACCAGTGTCCAGTGGAGTACAGTACAGTCCAGTCCATCATAATGCAAAGCAAAAGTTAAGTAACGGTTTGTGAGTCGTGATCTTTCGAGGCAGGTGAATGATTAAATAAGTAAACATCCGAGTGTAGTAGCACAAACGAGATTTTCACTCACCACCTAATCATAATTATTACAAACCACACTTGGAGGCGTCAACCTGCGTAGACGTTACGGCGACTGAACCAAGTTCTACTGCAAGTCCACCGGTTACAGTGTTCATAGCCTCCTCAGAGAGGTTGATGAGCCCAGTACCAGCAACATCAATGGCAAGGGCGTATAAAGGCGCAGAGTCGCCCCAGACAATCTCCCAACAGGTTCCACAGTTGGGCGAATCCCATTCCGTGACTGCAGCTACACAGTGCGCAATTCGTATCATCAGTAAGTAGTAGATATTGACTAGAAATTAAGGACATACCGAAAGCCCCGATGTTAGGAAATGAAGGGAGGGAATTAAAGGTAGTAAATCCTTTTGTCATATAGTAAGTTCATTGTATTCTCTGACTATAAGTTCATAAGCTTACCTTTTGTCAAAAGTCCGTTCACGCCATCAGAGCAAGCCACAACGTCAAGGGACTCGCTTCCAATATCGTAAATTGTGTCATATTTAAGGGTGTCGGCGAAAGCAGAGGCAGCGACAGCGGCAGAAACAAAGAGGGAGAGGAGCTTCATAGTCAAGATGATACCAGAAGAAGAAACAACAAGGAAGATGCTGAAGATTTCGACCTCCTCAGCCTCACTTATAAAGGATAGCAGGCCGGACACATATGACCGCGAGTGTTCATGTGCTCTGTAGACCTGGACACTTGTTCCGATTTCCTCTCGAAGTCTTCCCGCCAAGAGGCTCGGCAGTCATTGAACGGTAAGGAACCAAGAGGAACGGCCAAAAAACGCCAGTGGCCAGAAACCTCTAGAAACGTATAATAATAACTTTGAGGCCTTGAAGCCCGTCGAGAGTTTGGAGTTCGGACCTTGCGCCGAAGGAGATTGAATGACGCGGTTTTATTGAAGTCGGAATCAGCGAGTTGAATAAAAGTTGAATCTGCGGAGAGGCATGTCGCAAACTTGATTTGGCGCTTATAATCGCCTGGGATTATGATCCGATTAGAATTGACTCATAATCAGCTTACAATTCGATTATCACCTAATTATCATGCGTAAACTAGGCAAAGTCTGAAGGTATATCACGCTTCAGATGTACTGGGACACGGATAGTCGAGAAGGATTTGAGATAGAAATGCTTGTGTGCGGGGTCTATATCAGTATTAGACACTGACTTGAATTTCATTATTGAACGGCCAGTACATTTTCACTCCGCAAAAGATAGCCACGAACTTTGACTAGAGCGTCGGTACTTTGACCTTTCCAGCAAGGCATCTTTCCAGCTAATCTCCGCCCCGATTGAGTCTTCGGCATTCTGTTCGGAATTCCGAGCAAATCTCTTCAGTCTCTGAAATCTTCCAGTGAGAGCGTGCATTCGACCGCAATTCGTCCGCGATTGGCTGCAGAACTGATTCTTGTGCGTTCATTACGAACCTTTTCGTCTACAAAGACTTTTCTCTGTATAGCAGATGCAGGGAAATGGAGACATCGGCAAGAAAGTATACGAAATGAAGAAGGTATCCGGAGAGTAATGGTGTCATAATTAAGCCCATTCAATGTTGAACTGAACTAGACTCAGAATTGTCCGAATCATGCTAACTGGTTCGGTGGTGTAGGGGTTATCACGTCTGTTTTACACACATTATTCCGATGTATGTGCACAGGAGGTCCCCGGTTCGAAACCGGGTCGAATCAGTGCTCGAATGTTGCGGGTGCGGATTTACTTTTTTCGTTTGTGAACTGAGCCCGTTTGTACAAGTTAGTAGACGAGATTATAGTAGTATGCATAGAAATCGGCAATGTGTATGACTACTAGTACTAAAATGATCATCCATCATAAAGTATATTGAATACACTCTGTCGATAACACCCATCTAGTTGCTGAATGGCTCATACTTCTGTCGAGATCAAAGCTATCGTGCAACAAGGGTACGATACCATAGCCCCAAAAGTATCACCAGTGGGCGACTCCTCGACCAACACAGACGCGAGCGGAATATATCAAAAGACTCGGTAAATCTCTGCCCAAAAATGCCAAAGTCCTTGAGCTAGGGTGCGGAGCTGGGCTCCCCGCAACACAGCAACTCGTTGACGAGGGCTTCGAGGTACTCGGAGTCGATATCTCGTTGGCCCAGATAACGCTCGCCAAGGAGCACGTCCCATCAGCCCAATTCATGCAGGGCGATATGATGGCGCTTGAATTCGCAGATGGTCTTTTGACGCCGTTATGGGATTCTATTCGCTCTTCCATCTCCCGCGGGAGGAGCAAGGACTGATGATGAAGAAGATGATAGGGTGGTTGAAACCAGGAGGATGGCTGCTGTTCAATCTGGGAACAACGGAAGGGGAGACAGTGAGAGAGGATTGGATGGGAGCGAAGATGTATTCGTGTGGCCTTGGAATCGAAGGGAACAAGAAGATGTTGGCCGATTATGGTGCGGGATTGACGGACGTGGAGGATGTAGTTGATGTGGAGTATGTTGGTCGATTTGAAGAAAGATTTCATTGGATATGTGCAAAGAAGAGCCTCTAGTGTGTTATGTGCTGTAAAAAGCATACTGCTTCATGCTAAAATGCAATTATGCCTTCGTCATGACAAGCGATTCCGTCCCTTCCAGTCCATCCGACGGTGCATATCTCGACCGTCTTCTGATGCTCGGCCCTTTGATATAAAAGAATACGGCGACAGGCAACAAGGAAAGGCTGACACAGCCAAGTAATGTGCCTTTCAAACAAATTGCGTCAAAATGGATATCAAAATTTGAATCGCGTGAGGTACTTACAAGCCCACTGAGGTTTCATGTTTAAAAACATGGGCCGGGCAGCCATTATAGCTCCAGCGGAGACGAGATATCGGACGAGTGTATTTCCAGCGAAGGCTCTACAGATAAAGGTCAGTCTTATAAATAACACAGCTCAGCGAGACTGACGAAGCCGCATTATGCTTGTAAGAATCGATTAGCATCTGAGAGACCCCAGTAAAGATCATGATGAATCCGTATCCAAAGGGAAGCCCGGAGAGGATGGGAGACCAAACTGTCATTGAATTAAAAGGAGAAAAGGCACGATTAAAAAAAACATGCTCACTCGATATCGACTCGAATGACGTCCATCCTAACCAAAAAATGCTAATAGGGACAAATGTGCCACCTAAGAGCACAGGGAGTAGTCGTTCCTCTGGCTGAACTGAACCCTTCTTGGCCAATATCTCGCCATATCGACGATTAAAAAGGAGAAGGGTCAACATTCCGAGTATCATACCGATACAAATTGGAATAAAGGTCAAACCGATTTGGCCAAGATTTAGGCCATGGATAGTACCGAAAATGACTGGGTAAGCCTCGAGCCAACCAAAGAATAGGAAGTATGCCAGCGAAAGGTAGAGTGTGAGGAATTGGAGCTGTGGTAGAGATTGAACTTGGTATTACTCCGGAGTTGGAGAACTATATACTCACGAGAGGTTCGAAAAACAGAAGCTTGAGAGGTTTAAATAGCACCTTGCTGGGAAAAGGTTAGCAGACATTGTAGAATTCTAGTAGTCTGACTTACTCAAGAGTCTCCATCAATGTGGGTTTCCGAACACCGTCTGCTTGGTCTCCTTTACCCATATAAAATGCTCTTTTGGACGCAATACTAACTGCCAGGGTCTCTGGACAAAACAAAGCGAGAAATAACGCCAATACACAGCCGGTAGTTCCACTAATGTAGTAGTTGTACCGCCAGTCTGACAACATCGATACCCAAGAGCCAATAACTGGCGCAACCATAGCGACTACAAGCAAGGCGTGAGCATTGTGGTTAAAAATATTTAGAAGGCTACTTACCTGGAAATGCCATCCCTGAAAAGACGGTAAACGCGTATCCGACCGGAACCGGGGTGAACATATCAAATAGCGATCCTCCTGCTACTGCCAAAGGAGCTGATCCAAATAATCCAGCAAAGAACCGACATGCAAGCACTGTACTCCAGTTCTCTGCAGCTGCGACCCCGAATTGGAATACGCTTGCTATGAGAAGAGTAGAGACATAAACTAGACAGTAGATCTAAATAAGCCTCATTCATTTAACGGAGAGAAAAAGGGCGTACCAGGATGCCTTCCATATGTTTCTGATAAAGGTGCTACCGGAACGGCTCCAAGAGCTATCTTTTTTTCAGAAGAGGTCAGTAAGATAATGGTGAAGATTCGAGAGATTATTCTTACTCCTACGAAAACCAAGGCTGTCGATAATTGAGCTACCTCCGTACTGACCCCGAATCGTTCCGACATGCTCTCTGTGGTCACGGAGGAGATGGCGGCAGCGTAGTTGACCTGCCATGCTATTGCGATCACGCAAAACTCTACGAAACATTTGTACGCGGGCGACCATCGTCGAGGATGAGCTTTGAACGTGAAATATAACTGTTACTCAAGGTGCATACGTCTCTGAGTCGATGATGCTTACCTTCCGAGGATTCGTCGAATTCAACAACAGTAGTAACCGAACTGCTGTTGCGTTTCTCAGATGCTGCTGTCGCGTACACTGGAGTCCCGAATGCATTGCGATATTGACGAGTCGGTGCATGAAGATGTCCAAATGTGAAAGCCATCGAGATTATTGAGTTGGGTTTAGGGAAATGGATGAAGATATTTTGGAGCGACTTCACCGTTCTGGCTTAAGCCTTTATACGACAGGCAATGGCATGGAATTGGAGGACAATCGCCATTACAAACACAGACTTGAGCTTGAGTGAGTAAGCTATAGGCGTCGCCGCCGTCGCGCAACATCGTTCAGCCGGCGCCGAATCGACGCCGGCAACCCAATATCTGAGTAGTTCTACCCAAGGGGCATTCGGCAGCAGAACGGCAGACAAAATGCGCTTAACGTGACCTGTCAAAACCATGCGACCAGAAATAAGCGCCGTAAGCATTCAAGACAGCCATGAAACAGCTACAGAGAGCAAATTATTGACGTTGTGCAACCAGAGGCTGCCAAAGGCAGTCAAAAGTTGAAATCTCATTTTACTGAAGTGCAGAACTACGCTAAGAACTCTACGAGAGTGCACATAGACTAAGCGCTCTCTCGGATATTTCGGACCCGCATTATCGGATCAGACACCCCTTGCCTATTTTAGTAAGGGTGCATGATGTCTGCCATTCAAGTGCCGAACGCCCCTTGGTTCTACCTTGACCAGGGTCTTTCCAAGCGGTTGTGTTTTTCCGCCGCACGCGTCGCTTGCGCGTCGTAGTAGTTGACTAAAAAAGGCATCACCTGACTCCCGTTTATCCTTGGTCTATTGATTTTAAGCAATGAAAGTTGCTTCCTGTCAGTTCCGAGTGAATCCGACCACTGAATGAACGTGGATGAAAACAATTTGTAAGTGGCAAGATGATCTTCCTCGGTCTTCAGTCCGCCAACGCGTGTATACTCAGTACTCAATGCTCGGATCCACTCGGAGGTGCGTTCCTGGATACTCCTGTACATCACGAAACTGCTATCCGATATTCAAGAATGGTCCATAACATCTAATGTACACTTAGTAGCTACGTATACTAAAGCCACCCGCCAGGAAGCAACGGGTCAGCTACCACGCTCGACCCTGAGCTCCCACCCGAACCTTGAAACGTATCGATTCTCAACGCTCTCCCAGCCAGCTGGGGAAGACGCGAAGAAGAAGACTCTTCTTGAACAAGAACCTCATTTGAAACCTCCTATAAGTGAATCGTCAGCTAACCAAGGACATTGACTCAAATTGTATGATCACCGCTGATTGACCTGATGAGCCATTGCGCGAATGAGAACCACCACTGAATGCAAATCCGTTCGACCTCGGCGAGCCAAATACACTCGAGGACTTCCTTCCAGGTGACCCGAACCCATTGAGCTTGGCCTTTGGTGATGTTGGCGGGGTAAACGAAGGCTCTGGCCCTACACTGTCGAAAATGTTAGAGATCACCTCCTTGGCTGCTTCAGGTCCCACATCATCAGGCAACGGACTCCTCCCTCCCATCGCCAACGAGCGCAGCCGCTCTCTAGCCTGAAAGATGACAATTGCCGTTCGGAATCCCAATCTGCGGGACTCTTCGTGGTCAAGTGTGCTTTCCCTTGAAGCTAGGTCAACGTAAAGAGGAGCCAGAAGCTCCCAGCCAACTTGGTAGTCTTGATACAAGACTATCCTATCGACAAGAGGGACATCCAGGTATTGGAGCTGCTCGATTGCTAACTCCTTGACGTTGGAGAAGCCCCATAAATTAGATAGTTTGAGAATGGATGCCCATTCTTGTTGGGGTTGTTCAAATTGGTAGTATGAGTATCGACTATATTCGGGACTCAGAAACCAAAAGGAGATATCATAGATAGACACGCACGGGTTATAAAACACCTTCAAGAAACTCTCAAACTCCTCCGGAGTGATATCAAAATCGTCGGACAAGATAATGGCACTGGTCATTAGAGCTCCCGTTGCCCTCCAGCGACATCCCGGCTTCCGATATGGCCAACCGGTCTTTGAATAGTTGTGATTCACGGGTGAAAAAATATGAATGGACGCGGAAGGTGTATTCGCCGACCTAGATGCAGCGTAGATGAGAGAACAGCGATACTGAATATGGCACAGGGAGAAAGAGAGAGTTGACACGTACGACGAAGAATAGATCGCCTCCAGTAATATAAAACGACGTGCTTCGCTTCATTGGTCGAAGGGACCCGTTCGAATC